CTAGTCCCGGAAGCAAGCTAATGGGCCTGTACCCATCTGGCTTAGTGTTATCCTTGCCGGGCTTAGGCAATAAAATAACTTTTGCGATTTTCCATTTTGTGGGAAAATAGCATTGACTAAGACACGCATTGATAATACTCGTGAATTTTGTCACAACATTGCAGGGCAGATTTCTAAGTGCGTGATTATTAATACCGTCTATGCCAGGGGCCTTTTTGACTTTAAGCTTCTTTGTGATTTCTTTGATCTCACTGGGGGTAGCAGTGGCCATGTACCTCTTAGCAGTGTGGGCATTAAGCCAATCCCTAACAAAGTAGCATGCCTCATTGACAAAATTAATGTCCATGGGCGTCATGTTAGGTCTGAACTGCTCTTCTAAATGGTCCGCAAGGACCGTCGATTTGTCTTTATTGTTGAGAGCAACAGAGTTTTCAGTATAAATCGGCTTATTGCATGTACGCTGCCTTTTCAAGTTACGCATGAACGTCCAGAGACTGCCATCATTCGGACTAAGATTCTGAATTTTTTCTTCCCATACATCTCTCTTATGCTCATCTATTTTCTTTTTAATTAATTTATTTAATTTGTTCATATCTCTTTTAACGTGAGGGCTCCATGTAAGGTGCCACGCTTTCCTCATCCTATTCCGGTCCTTAATCATCTCTCTAATTTCCTGTGGCAGAATGCCAGCGTTATTATTTCTTCTCACGTGTCTAGAGGCATTTTCAATAGCATTATTGATTGAATCAGTGAGGGTATCAACTGCATCATCTATATCTTTCCGCGAGTTCAGAGTATCAAAGATGGGCGGATTCTGACTGAGAAACTTCTGGAACTTATTCCAGTCAGTCGTGCGGATCATTTCATTTTCTGCCTCTTTAGTAGTGCCTAGGTAAGCAATGACCGGTATATGGTCAGAGCTCAATTCGTGCTTTACTTCAGTATAAATAGGGATTGAAGTATTTGTCAGAAGAATATCAAGAAGGTCTGCATTTCTTGGGTTCTGTGGTCTGTACGTATACTCCTCAGTAACATGCAAGGCAACTGGGTGATTATTTATAAATTCATAGAGGACCTTACCATTTTGGTTAGTTTTACGGCACCCCCACTCGGAGTGCTTTGCGTTGAGATCACCCGTTAGGATATACTTATTAGTGTCAGAGAGAAGTTTGGAAAGAACACTTTCCGTCAGTAGTTTCCTGGGCGGATTATAAAATGAAATGAAATTCAAATTACCATATTGCGGTAAGTACACTGAGACTGCGACCATCTCATGTCCGTCGTTTCTATCTTGGCTAATCAAACAGGACTGTAGCGAGTTTCGCACATAAATTGCGGCCCCCCCCACCACGGTGACTCAAACGATCGCACCTATATGTGCGGTAATTAGGCAAATTTATACGCACGCATGGCGTGGCAAAAGTCTCTGTTACAAGGGCAATATCAATATTGTGATTGTTAAGGAAGTTTAAAAATTCCGTCAACTTGTTCTGAATGGCATGAGCATTCCAGAATGCTAATTTTATGGGATCTCCTTGTGTGGTGTACCTATCCATTAAGATCTTGATTTATGGTAGTTTTGTCCTTATGAGTAGGTGCATTTTGTCCTATTTGCTGTGTTAAAAGAAAGCCGGAGCTCTTAATGACCGATACAAGCTCGGCCAGGTGTGCAAAAAACAGTTTTTGCTTCCTTGATCGTGTCTGCATACAAACCAGTAGACAGGGCTTGTGCAAATGTTTTATTTTCTATAACCCTACTAGTATAGACTTTTGGCTTATCTTGTTTCTTTTTAGGGAACATCTCACAACCCCTAAAGTTCGAGGTGTGAGATTGTTTACAGTTCGCACAACATGGTGGCAAGTCAGAGTTTTTATTAGGGCATTCAAAGGACAAATGTCCCTCTCCGCATCTCACGCACTTGGGTGCATAGTTACAGCCAGTTTGCGTATGATGAAATCCTTGGCACCTATAGCATTGTAGCGTGCCCGATCTACCTTTATAATTTTCGACTTTAATTCCTAGGTCACATAAGTGAGTTTCGTTGTGTATATCTTTGGATTTGGGTTTCTTAGGCAGAGTAACTAAAAATAGCGGAAGTTTAATAACCTCCCCTTTTCTTCTGCGCGTAAGTTGTTTAACTGATTCAACTTTGTATCCTAAATCCTCTAACTCCTCTTGTATTTCTACCGTATCTGTATCTCTTAAAAGACCTCTTATGTCTTTATCCTCAGGAAGCGTGAAAGAGTGATGTTCCACTTTCGTGTCTTTTAAATAAGTAACAGTCTGCCTGTAATGTTCAGGGTTTCTGATGAAAATTTTAATCCCTTTATTATTCTTATTAGAGTTAAACTCAATGTTTCTCTGTTTAAGTGCCCTAGCTATGTTTTTCCAAGTAGGGTAACCTACTTTAATAGTTATGGGTGGTATCCGTGACTTTTTCACAAATTCCGTTTCTATGTTTTCATCTGAGCTTGTATTTTGTTTAGACGTACTAGCGTCCGTGTCCATACTATTGTTATCCTCACCATTAGTGGCATTTTCACTAAGTCTCTCCTCCATGGTGTTCATTTGAGTTGCGCCAGCCTGGGGAATATGAGCGTCAGTTCGCCCAGTCGGGCACGTGACCTCATCTGGATAACTGAGTGGTCGCGCTGCGTTTTCGGTTCCAGACCTACTCGCTGCAGCCTGTTTCTCAGTTCCTTCACGAGATGGCGCCACATTATTGTGGCTGCTGACCGCAAACTCAGAACTCAGTGTTTGTGTAATTTTACTACCTATGTCCTGACTAGGCGAGATTTTTAAACTTTTGGGAGCCTTCGGTTTGGGATTTCGTTTCAAGCTAACATCACCTTCATGTCTGGTACTGTGCGTGTACTGTTCGACAGTAAGTGCGGAGTCATCATCAGCTATGTTCGCAAGAACATCAAATTTGTTTTGCACCTCAGGAGGGTCCGATTCAGTATCGCTCAGAGTACGTTTCGTACTTTTGGTAACAGCAGTCCAATGCATATCGTGTTGTGAGACATCAGCATGATGGGAATCAATTTCATTAGACGCTAACCGGTTAGAACCGACTTGCGCTAAGCCTAGTTCAGAGCCACGTGCAGAGTTCAGACTTGCACGTACTTTATCCGATAGGTTAGGGAGAAGCTTTAATAGAAAATCCAGATCAATTCTTTCATCCTCAGTCAAAGGTAAATCCTTCTCTTTGGAAGTTAATTCCGCATATCGAGCGAAAATTAGTTTGACCAGTGACATGTTGATCAAGTCCTTAAACCAGTTCAGTCATCAGGGAAAAATAGATGCAAAGAATCAGTAAAATCGCACTAAGGCCTTTTTACTACTCTTTGGTCACTTAAGACCGGTGAGCAACCTTTTATGTGCTAACAACTGATCGCAGAAGAAAAATCAAATCGACTTGGTAAAACCGAGAGCCGTGCTAAGACAACCTTCAAGTGCGACCTATAATCACACAAACGGTCGGCACCTAAGCATTCCCGGGGCTAAATATTAGGTATCACCGGGTGTTGATGGCTGTTAAGCTCCGCCCCAATTTTAACGGAGAACATCCTGGGAGGCAGTCCGAGGGTCTCCCACCGCTCTTTCCCTACCACCAATTATTCGACAGGACGTTCGGCTATACGTATATTTTGAATGCCCTCTTACCAAACAAACAACTTAAAAATATCCATGCCTTCTCAGGCATTCGAACTCGGCAGAGGATCAGAAAATCATATTCTAGTGTGAATATTGTTATAAAGGAAATATTTTACGTTCTTTATCGTATTCTACAATATTACATACATTAATATTATACATAATATTAATATAATACAACATATTATGCTATTGATCTGTATTAGACATTCTAAGTGCCCGAAATGATTATTCTGAAGAATGTGCTACTTGACATAAGAAAAAAAAAAAAAAAAATGACACGTCGAGTAAAACTGGGTGTAATAGAAACAACATAATTTGATGAAAATTTTATCCTAGAAGTGCCTTCAACTAAATGAAAGATTCGCTTTTCATGCAATTAAATTAATCCTAATTTCCGCTGCAGTATATCAGTTGCTGCAATCGCAGCATATTTCATGCTTTTCCTAAACATTGTCCACTTGAAGAACTCATACAAGTGTAATACTTTTTGTTTCCTATAGTCAGAAATGTGAATGCTGGGGGAGGGAATCAATATTGCGTACAGTTTATGTGGAAAGTGTAAAAATCATTTCAGTATACATTTTACTGCAAAAATAGAACACAGGTTCCCTTATTATAGTTATTTATTTATCAATTACTGCTGCATAATGTACGTTTAATGGAAGTAATTCAGAATATCGAAGTCTAGCTGTATTGACATTTTCTTTGGGCGATTTTTACATTAGGTATTTAGTTTGTTTCTATATATTTATATGTTGTTGCAGTTGAAAATGATTTTTCAAGCGAATAAATTACGATGAAGAGCAACATTTTTTAGGGATTTTTAGGGATTTAGGGATTTTTAAGGCTTTATTAAAAATTTTGAAACATTCTGCTTACATTTTTGGGGACTAAAATTCAAAGAGTTCTTTTTGACTCTATTTAATTTTCAGAGTCAATTTTACTGAGGTTATAAGTTATAATTTGCTGAGGTATAAGCGTATTATAAGTTAGGCTGTCGAGAAAGTGATGCGGCTCGGATAAACACTGCACAGAAAAGCAAAGAGATTCGGAATTTTTTCGGCTCACTTGAAAGGGCCTTTTAATGCGTTATTCCTTTTAATCTAGAACAGCGGTAAAACTCAGATTAAAGTTGATATCCTAGTATGGAAGACAACTGTCTTTCTATGGATTTCAGGGGACATTTTCGTAGCTTTGATAATAAATGAATAAGCTTTGGTAATGGGGGGGATACAACTATACATCTCTGAAAAAAACTATACCCATTCATAGAACTTTCATAAATAGAGAGATAGTGAAAAACAATTAAATCACAACTAAAAGAATTTTTCTTTTCCAGGAAACTGCATATGAATAGAAACAATGAAAATTCCACCGTGGACGGAAAAGACATAGAGAATGAAATGAATCAGAAAAATAATTTAGTAGAATATGAAAATGGAAATGGATTGAATGAAGAGGTGAGTATTCAAGAAACATTTTACGTTAAAGGGAGGCACAATTTCAATTTTGCATGTAATTTCCTGCAAAATTTTAAAGTAAAGTATTTATTATCCTAGGTTCTTCAAAACAATAAATACAGTGTAGCATAATTACGAACCTTCACGACGTCTGTTGAGATTCTTAGTATATTAATTTGATGCATCTCAAAATGTTATTAAAAAATTTCTGGGTGCTTTCGAGGGGTGTTTTTGTCCTTTACACATACACGTTTCGAGAGCATTTAGGCTAACGCCTCTTGGGCTAAGAATATTTAAAAGCAGCTTTATCTTTAGAATTTCCGACAGTCTGTATCATGTGCTGGAGATAAAAATATTGTTACGAATTTTGTATTTAGTTAGATATTTTTAGTAGAATTATAATTAAAATTGCTTTATTTCCCCGTGCAAAGCAGCGCGTGACAAACTTCCAGAGAAAGCTATGCCAGAAACGTAAAATACAGGAGAACATGCATTTTAACATTGAATAAAAGTTTATGTCGGTAATTTATATTTAGTTTGAATAAGTGTAATTGACTACTGTATTAGCTGTAACCTTAATTCTACTCTCTTTGCTTTTCAGAAATCTCGAGAAGCAAAGAAATTACTAGAACTCTCTCACAACCGATTGAAAGCTTTAAAAAGCTGGAGAGAAACATCTCAGCTCAGTTGTCGCTTACTTAGCTGCTGTTGTTATTTTTGCGAGTTCAGATCGGATTAGCTTTCTCTGCGCTGTGAATTGCGTTCTGTTGAACGCTTTAATAGTTTAAAGGATAACTACTGATTATATTGCGTGATACTGTACGATTATATCTGAGGAAAAATCCAGCGTTCTGTTATATTTATTTTGACAAGAATAAATTTTACTAACATTTTATCGGACTTGCGCATTCCATCTATTACGAGCTCGTACGCGCGCAACAGTATTTTATTCCGTACAGTGTGTTGCCATAGCTCGCTTTGAAATCGTTGAGTTTTGTAATAAAAAATTCGTTAAATTTCAAACTATATGAAATAGATAATAAAACAACTTCGAAATTCAAGATTCGAGCTTCCAAGTGTTCATATTCGGGCTGAGTACTACGTTATTCAAAATTTGATGGTTCTAGGTATCGTTTTTTCACAGTGCGAGAAGCATACATACATTCATTCAGATTCTTCATTATTTAATTTCTTTAAATATAATATAGGTAGATAATGTTTGGTCGCAATAATTTAAGTGATTCAACGCTTTTAGTGATTAGACGCAAAATGCAGTTTCGAGACTAATAGCCCTTCTGGGTTAACGCCCCTTTGGGATAAAAAAAAAGGAAATATCAAAGGATACAATATTATAAAATTCTTTATGTAGAGTATTATTTTTTCTTAACATGAGCTTAAGCATTCACTCAGTGTGCAGTCGGTCGTAGTGAGCCTAAAGACGTTGCGTTGCACAGCTGGCCTCCTTGAGCATCGAGTCATAATATCATGCGCCATCTTCTTTTGAATTGTTTTTAACATATCATATTCGATTCATATTTCTTCAGGTGGCTGTGCGATCTCGAAAATTCTCGAAACTGGAGCCTTTGAGGATTGGATACAGCACCTACGTTAAGAATTTGATTATTCTTGACATTAACAAAGCGATATGTTGCTTCATCAAGTTTTTTGAAAGAGTTATTCTCAAAATGGAATGATCAAATAAAGACCAATTTCGGTGCTGTTGTCCATATTATTATTATTATTATTAATACCGAGAGAACATCGGGATATCTGTTTCCTTCATATTCAAGTCCCGAACTTAACGCTCTATAAAGCCTAATTATAAGCTTCTGTCAGTAAGCTGTAGTATTTTAGAAAAGTCTTGCAGTTGTTGTTTTTTTAAATTTCAAACATTAAAAGATCCATTAAAATTTTATAGATTTCATGTATACCCCTAAATTGACTTTTTATACTGCGACAGAAAAATTTAATTTTTTAAAAAATATTTTCAAAATAAAATATCGATACCATTCTGCAAAAGTAAAAGAAATGAATAAAATAATAAAAAAAAGTTTGAAAGCTTTCAGATTTTACATTACGCCCAGTGGGACATTTTATTAACTTTTTGTGGGTTGCCTTTATTTATTAAATATCATGTTCTTCGCACTTAAACCATAAAGTTCGATTCAACAGCAATATCACAAAATAATTTTAAAATGAGAATATCCTTTAGAATGTCTGTTGGACAGTCTCGCGCTCTGGAGATAATTTTTTTTTTTTTTCGTACAGTGTTGTCATTGCTCGCTTTGAAATAGTTGAGTTTGCTAATCAAAAATTCTTTTAAGTTTTATAAAATATGAAATAGATAATAAAGAAAATTCCAAGTTTGAAATTTGGGCTTCCAGATGCCCATATTCGGGTGGAAACGTACGTTATTCAAAATTCTAGGTACCGTCACTTTATCACAATGTGAGAAACGTACATACATTTATGAAGATTCTTCATTATTTAATTTCTTTAAATATAATACGGAGCTAAAATATTTGGTGGAAACAGTTTGAAACGTGAACCGCCTTTTCAAGCTTTCAACGCAAAATGGCAAAACGAAATTAATAGCCCTTCTGGGCTAACGGCCTTTGGGATAATTAATTCTTTTATTGCAGCATTGTTACAAAGACAAAATTGCATTTTAAATAATGCATGTTTAAAGTTATACGTTTAAATTTAAAATACACGCTTATGGTCGCTGAATTTTTTAAAATTCATCGAGAGCTTAGCCATGACCCAGTCATGTATCTTTGTCATTTTTCATGCATTCAGCAGACCTCCCCATGAGTAAATGTGCTAAAACTTCAATTTGTGTTTAAAAAAACTAACATCTTTTAGTTTCTGTTACACATAAAGCTATAGTATTTTCGGAGAAAGCGATTGCTGTTAGAACTAGTTTTAGAAAGTGTTATTTTATCAGTAATCTAGATTCGTCAGACTCATTGAGCCTTGAGAAAACATATACACGCAACAAAACGCATTCGTATTCAGAAGAAATATCATTTATTTCTCCGCATTTTACCTTTCAAGTAATCACAATCTAATTTTATTTACTGTTTCATAAGTCATGAAGCTAGGTGACAAATGAACAAAACAATTATACTCCAGAGAAAAACCGTACATTATAAAGTATGAGTTGAAGGTCTTTCAGATCAGTATGAAAGTTTTGTGCATACTAGTAAATCTATTATACAGGTGAATAGATATAGTCATACTAATAAATGTGCTTGTAACAATAAAGGCATCGGCATAAGATATTAGGGTTTTGTTGGTTTACTTGAATATGGCAAAACCTGCGAAGGCTATCTATTTAAGGGGACTCGTACACCTTAAACCCCTCATGATCTTCGAATATGTGACTGTTGCAAGAATTGGGATATTTTATTTATTTTAAAAGCAATTGCCTCCAACTTTTTATAGCTGACTAACATAATATAGCTGCTTTGGAAACTAGTAACCAGAAAGTTTGTGTTGCCACAAATATTTTTGTAATTTAATCCTCTTTGTGACAAAATATTTCGCCATGTTTCCACCTTGTGCGCATGATGTTTAAAAAATGGCTAATGGTACACACTTGAAATTAGATGGAATTCTTTATATGGGCACTATTTTCTAAGTGAACCAACAATCTGATGAATATTTTAATATTGAAAAATTTTATGGACGAAAACATTACAAATTTTGTTAAAAAATACATTTTATAAACTCAACTCAAAATAAAATAAAAATTTAACATGAAAATTTTTGAATTTTAGGTTCATAGTAGTTTCCAAATGTTATAAAAGCTATATATTAAATATGGAATTAAATTATGAAACAGAATGTTTTAAACTGTGCGCGCAAGCTGGAAACATGACGAAAAATGTTGTCACAAAGCGGATTAAATTATAAAAATATTTGTGGCAACACAAACTTTCTGATGACTATTTCAGAAAGCAGCTATATTATGTAGTCAGCTGTAAAAAGTTGGTAGTAATTGCTTTTAAAATAAATAAGTTATCCCAATTCTTGCAACAGTCACCTATTCGAATATCTTATGGGTTTTAAGGTGTATGAGTCCTCTTAAAGAAAGGGATACCTTCGTGGGGGGGGGGGGCTTTCGAATAGAAAATGGCTCCTATACACGTTACAAATGAGAAAAACCATGAAACGCCACCTTTAAGACTTGGCCGCTGGTGAGCCGCATAATTTATTATGAATCACTTCCGTAGGTACAGAAATTTTCATAGGTGAAAAGGTAAATATCATAGGTGGTTTCCTGGTCTTAATAATTTATTAAATTTGAAATCTTATTCTTTTTAAATGGTTGTACTAAAACTTTGCATCTAGAATTTTCATTGCGTTCGTATTCTGAAAGAATGTGCTTGAAAATTTTTGTACAGTAATAATAACACGCAAAAACCCAAAGCAGAAATTGCGTATCCGAGGTACATAACATTCTGCATTTGAATCATCTTTTCATTAAATTTACTTATGGCTTTAATGTTTATAAAATTTTTATCTGCAAGCAGATTCAAACTGCAAAATTCTATTAATAATCCTGTCGTATTTTAAGTAGACTATTTTTAAGAGGATCATTCTGTAACACTGAGAAATACTTTTTTTATTACACATTAAAAAATTAATTTAATTTAAAACAATTAATATATATTTAAAACAAAACAACAGCTGTGCAGAATACTTTGATCTACTGTTTACATGAGGAAAACAAAACTGTAATTACCTCATTAAAGGGGCCTCTAAAATCAAAACGTCAAACTTTTCAAAATTAGGGAAATTCTTCATAAAAGGTAACGCTCTTGAAAAATGAGATCAGTCGTTTTCCGGAAAAGAAAAGAATATGAATTCATTTAAAGGAGGGGGAAGAAAGGATAAAGAATGAAAGTCTAATTTTAAATTAAGTTGGCAGGTCTTTTTTAATAAGTGTTTAATGATTGTTAAATCTTTACAATGGCAATTATGTTTATGTTAAT